TTGTGACCTTGTTCAACTGCTTGTAATTAATACACATTCTCATAGTACCATCCTTCTTCTTTACAAATAGAACTGGTGCACCCCAAGGTGACACGCTAGGCCGAATAAACCCCTTATCAAGGAATTCCTAAAGCTGCTCCTTCAAATCCTTCAACTCCACTGGTGCCATACGATACGGTGGAATAGAAATGGGCTGAGTGCCCGACACCAAATCAATACCAAAATCAATATCCCTGTCGGACGGCATGCCCGGCAGGCCTGCAGGAAACACATCCAGAAAATCTCGCACTACAAGAACAGAATCAATAGTAGGGGCCTCTGCACTAACATCCCTCACAAAAGCCAAATAGGATAGACAACCCTTCTCAACCATCTACTGAGCCTTCAAGTATGAAATCACCCTACTGGGAACGTACTCTATAGAACTGCTCCACTCAACTATCGGCAACCGCAGCATCGCTAACATCACGGTCTTAGCGTGATAATCTAAAATAGCATGACATGAAGACAACCAATCCAAACCCAATATCACATCAAAATCGACCATACTAAGCAGCAAAAGATCTACTCTGGTCTCCACACTCCCAATACTCACCACACATGACCGATATACATGGTCCACAATGATAGTATCGCCCACCGGAGTAGATACATGAACAGATGAAACTAGAGACTCAAGGGGCATATCCAGAAAATGAGCGAAATACGAAGACGCATATGAATAAGTGGAACCAGGGTCAAATAATACAGAGGCATATCTGTTGCAAACTGAGACAATACCAGTAATCACAGCATCTGAAGCAATGGCATCTGGTCTGGGAGGAAGAGCATATAAACGGGCTTGGCTACCCCCTGATCAGCCTCCCCCTCTAGGGCGACCCCTAGCTGACTGAGCCCCACCTCGAGCTGGTTGGACGGGTGGTGGAGCTGGTGGTGCTGGTGCCATCGGCCGAGTACTCTGCTGTGGAGCCCCACTCAACAACCAAGGGCAATCTCTCTTAATGTGACAAAAATCTCCGCACTCAAAATAACCCCTCCTCTGACGGAACTGCTGCTCCTGATGCCTAGAGGAACTACCCATGGAAACCTAAGCTGATGAGGCAACGTGAGAACTTTGCGCCGGTAGTGCACTGAATGACGACTGGCCCTGATGATGACTGTGTGACCCGTGGCCAGATGATGCACCACGGTGAACTGGGCGAGCCGTCTGAGCATGTCTGAAAGGATGACCTCTACCGTGGTGGGACTGACCCCCAGAAGGAACACCGCTAAATTCACGCTGACCACGAAGCCACTTGTCCTCCCTCTTGACCCGCTCCTGGCTGTGAACCATCTCAATCTAACGAGCAATGTCAACAACCTTATCAAAAGTAGCACCAGACACTCTCTCTCTAGTCATAAGTAATCACAGCTGAAAAATGAGGCCATCTATGAACCTCCTGATCCTCTCCTTGTCTGTGGGAACCAACTAGATAGCATGATGGGCCAACTCTAAAAATCTCATCTCATACTGCGTCACGGACATATCACCCTAACGAAGCTGCTCAAACTACCTACGCAGCTCCTCTCTGTTGGACTGAGGCACGAACTTCTCCAGGAATAGACCGGAGAACTGCTTCCAGGTAAGGGATGCTGCGCCGACCGGCCTACGCCTCTCGTAAGCCTCCCACCAACTGAAGGCAGCCCCAGAGAACTGAAAAATAGTGAATGAAACCCCACTGGCCTCTAGAATACCTGCGGTATGGAGTATCCTCTGGCACCTATCCAAGAATCACTGGCATCCTTTCCCTTGGCACCGCTAAAAGATGGAGGCTAGAGTCTCCCAAATCTCTCTAATCGACTGCTCATCATCAGGCATGATAGGAACCACATAGTCCTGAGTAGTTGCAACTGGCTGGGCTGGTGGTGTCCCCGGTGTCTGGAATCCCTGCACCACCTGCTCTGGTGTGTGGGCGGCGGGGGTTTGAGCACCTCCCCCGGCCTGAGAAGTGGTTGCTGTGGCCGGAGCAGAGACCGCCTGAGCAAGACTGGTACACGCGATCAGGATCTGAGCTGAGGCCTCCTTAAGTCCTAGAATCACAATGGGCACTGGTGGTGCCTGGGCTGGTCCCACAGGCTCATCCACAATTGGAGCATGCTCCTGAACTGGGGCAACTGGCAGATCTGCAGGTGCTGCCCAAGCTGCGGCGCGAGTTGCACCTCTACCCCTACCACGGCCTATACCGCAACCTCGGCCTCTCGCGGCCCTGACTGATTGTACCGGTGGTTGTCCATCCTGCCCCATAGTACGCGTCCTCACCATCTATGAGAGAATTAGAATAACAGAAATATAGTTACCAGAATCATAATATTCGCACGACAAGAATTCAAGAATGTGAAATTTCCTAAGGGTTCGGCAGCCTCTCGAACATAAGTATAGACGTCTCCGTACTGATCCACAAGACTCTACTAAACTTGCTCATGACTCGTAAGACCTATGTAACCTAGGCTCTGATACCAACTTGTCATGACCCAAAACTCTAACATGTCGTGATGGTGCCTATCGATGGTACTAGGCAAGCCGACCTTTCAAATATACTTCAATATTTCATAAAAAGGATAATTCAAAGCCTTTTCATACTAGAAATGTTTTACAAAAACTGGAGTTGAATTCAAAATAAAATGCGGAAAGATAGCCCCAAACATCGGGGTGTCACCAAGTCATGAGCATCTAGATTTTCAGTCTAATAAAAAAAGTGTCTAAGTATCAATACAAGAAAAGAAACATAGAAGGAGAGATAAGGTCTGCGGACGCCGGCAGCTACCTCATAGTCTTCGGTACCCGATCGCGCACAAACTCAACGACCTCTGTGATCAAACACACCTGGATCTACACATGAAGTGAAGGGTGTAGCATGAGTACAGCCAACTCAGCAAGTAACAGAAATAAATAAGGAACTGAGAAGCAGTGACGAGCTATACAATTACAGTTCATTTACAATAATTCCAGCAAAGAATAGACATGCTTTCACATCCGGCAGTTTAAGCCAAATCAGTTTTATACAGTTAAAGTTTAGGTAATCTAGATATAGAATCTTTCAGGAATTTCACAATAATGACAGATAGCAACTAAGTGCATCAACAAATGAAAAAGCAAGTACAGCCTCTCAGGGCAATAATCACTCAACTCGTCACAATAGCTCAAATCACTCGGCTCTCAGCCCTGAGTGCTCACACTCAATAGGTACCTGCGCTCACTGGGGGTGTGCGGAGTCCGGAGGGGCTCCTTTCAGCCCAAGCACTATATCTGCACGGATAACTCACGTGTTGCACGGACAACTCATGTGATATAGTATCAATATGTGAAACCGCACGGATAACTCACGTGCTGCACGGACAACTCACGTGCCATTGTATCAATACCTCACAGACAGGCCCTCGAACTCACTCCGTCATCAACCTCTCTATTCTCTCGGGCTCTCGAAAATCACAAAGATCGGCCTAAACAAAGATAACATAGTGAATCAACAAAAATCAAGAAGAGGCTGAGATATAATACGCAAGTAAAGAGGTGGNATATATGAATTGTATTATACTGTGTCAATCCACTTTTTTAGGGATTGTGGGTTGTATGTCACAGCATACGTAAAGTATTTGAGCACTTATGGATTAGTTTCACAAACAACCTTTGATGCCAATTTACTCCGTCAAAGATATGGTGCCCTCCTTTGGGACTATGCTATGCGTAAGATAGACGCTGATGCCATAAGCGACAATGAAGCACCCGCAAATATTGCCAGGAAAATCACAGATTCGAATACTTCTGTGAAGATAGTTTTAGAATAGTTTTCTGTAAAATAAATTGTATTTGCAGCTTATTACTGAATACATCATGGTTTTACTCAACCTTTTTTGTCTTTGAATACATGAATGTATTTTGTCTTTATGGTGTTAATGAATGAAACCATAACAGTCTTTAAGTTATGCTATTAATTCATATATTATGTTATATTTATGTATTAATAATCATCCACATACTTCTATTATGTATTTATATAGTTGTATTATGCTGATATATATCCCTATTATATTCAGCATAATTCAATGGTTTTAAATCCTTGTTATAATCCAGCTATATTCTGCAATATTTGAATGATAGGCAGTAGTGTATTCAATTGTATTTTACTGTATTTATTATATTTCAATGATAGATAGTGTTGTATTCAATGGTTGTATAAATGTCCTCCTTTATACATGTCATGTTATATTCAGCATAATTCAATGGTTTTAAATCCTTGTTATAATCCAGCTATATTCTGCAATATTTGAATGATAGGCAGTAGTGTATTCAATTGTATTTTACTGTATTTATTATATTTCAATGATAGATAGTGTTGTATTCAATGGTTGTATAAATGTCCTCCTTTATACATGTCATGTTATATTCAGCATAATTCAATTGCATACAGATACAAAAAATATCATTCAAGCTATATTAAAAAATTAAAACACTATATTTTATGTTAATCTAACTTGTATGTATTTGTTTTACTGTATTGCAGTGTATTTAAATGATAGACATTGTTGTATTCATTGTATTTTACTGCATTTATTATATTTCTAAATTATCTATATTCAATGATTATATTTTATTTTTATTTTCTACGTTTATATTCTACTGTATTTATGTATTAGTATAATCTTCCACATAGTTGTATTAATTTTTCAGAAGTTTTTTTGGACTTGAATTACGTATGTTTTCAATTTATTTTTTGAATGTACACGCATGTATTTTATGAATACATGTTCTACTATACTTCATACATGTAAATAAATCATTTTGTAAAGATACCACGAAATATAATAGCGTTCAGAACACGAAATATGTAATAGAAAACTTACACAAATCTATGACATAGTTATTGTAGTAATTAAAATCAGAACACAAACTGATTTTTTTTCTGAAGCAATTCACTTAACGGCTTATTGCGCTTCTTCTTTGGCCTTCCAGAAGGTCTTTTCTATTTGGGTGGTAAGATAACTTCCTCTGATATATGTGCTGGTATATTCCATTCCCTTCGGTCAGGCAGTGGATACACGGGCACCTCGTATGTTATTATAATAGACTTTGGTTTATAATAGTCCGAGCAATAATCTTCCGGCATTAGAAACTTGCTCTTCAAGACACCCCAAGCATGTGGGCATGGTAATTCGTCAACTTGGAACCGCCCACAACTGCAAGTTTTATCTAGGAGGCAAACGGTGTAATTCCTTCCTTCATCATTCACCATGTGCAAGCGTTCAGTCGATGGTACAACCTACATTAAACAGAGAAATATAAGTTGTGGACATTGGTACAATTCGTGTATCTGTCAATGACCAAACATATTAAATATAGTATACATGTATACAAGAAATACAACATTTAAAATATACTGAATACAAACACTATTTATCTGACAGTATATTAAAGTGAATAAATTTATTTGTGCAATACAGTGAAATACACTAAAATATTGTCAATACAAAAATAAAACCATTGAATATAACCAATAAAATACAGTTGTAGCAACATGTATTATCAACATATAATATGCATTAAACACAGTCGTTTGATATAACACAATACATGCACTAGTGTTGTTATAAAAAAGGCAGGCACTAGGTGAATATATTTATATGTCAAATACATTAAAATATAGTGAATACAGACATTATTTATCTGACCGAATATTAATGCGAATACATTTATATGTGAAATACCGTGAAATTTATCTATACAAAATAAAACTATTAAATTTAACCAATGAAATACAGCTGTAGCAATATGTATTATCAACATATAATATGCAGTTAATACAACCATTTAATACAATAGAATACCTGTTTGATACAACAGAATACATGCACTAGTGTTAATATAAAAAAGGCAGGCAGTATGTTAATAATAGAGGTTGTATTAGGCATAAATACATGAAGTATTCATATATCATAATTTTTTCAAGGCAAGTACTTATAGCAAAATAAAACTTACAGTCATTCGGGTAGATAGGGCCTCATTCAATTTAAGGATCTCCTGATATTTTCTCCCAAGCGTTGTGTACGTGTGTGAAGCTTCTTTTCGATCGTTCCAATTCCAACGTCCAAACATCTTCCTAACTTCTTCTAGGAAGTCGTATATTGGCAATTCTCTAGCTGATACAAGTGCCGAATTAATTGACTCAGCAATATTTGACGTCATGGTCCATCCCCGGTTAACAGGTGCATACAATCTAGCCCATTTTTCATATCCAACTAGTTCCAAGTAATCTTTAATCCGAATATCAACCTTCTCCACCTTTTCTATTAGACTATCAAACTCATCCTGGATGTATGCTTTTGCCATTGAAAAGTATACCTCGCTCAATCTTACATGACTCTCTTTGAATTTCTTATATACGTTGTTCCATAGATGCCATATACAAGCAAAATGGGGTACCGTAGGATATACTCTCGATAGATATTTGATTATGCTCTCATTCCTATCTAAAACGATGCACATGTTTTCTCGCTCACCATAAGTCATCTTAAATTGCTCAAAGAACCACAACCAAGCAGCATCATTTTCTGAATCAACAACACTATATGCTAGGGGCAATATATGTCCTGTAAATACAATTGCATATAGATAAAAAAAAAAGTATCATTTAAGTTGTATTAAAAAAGTCAAAATAGAATATTTTATGTTAATCAGGCTTGAATGTATTTTTTTTTTAACTGACTAACCTGCACCATCCAACGTGCTAGCAGAGACGAATGTTCCTGTGTATGTTGATTTTAGGTGGTTGCCATCCACAATGACGATGGGTCTATAGTAATCGAACCCCTTTATAAAAGCATACAACGATATATACATATACATGAACTCATTTTTAGGTGATTTTTCTATTCTAATATATGAACCAGGATATGTCATATCCAGTGTATATAAGTACCCTAGTAATTTAATTATATGAATCAGTTGGTTCACCCCTAAGAAACTTCACTGCCTTTTCTCTAGCGTACCACACCAACATGTAGCTAACATCTACACCAAAGTCCGATTTCACATCATCAATTATATCCTTTGGCGTATATTTTCTCTTATGATTAGTAAACTTGGACCTAATCATTCCCCCAATCAACCTACTAGTTGCTTGACGTTGCTCACACACCTTATCCTTCAATGGTGTAACGACTCGACCGGTCGTTTTGAGTGTATTAGCCCCGATCCCCTATTTTACTGCTTCTCCCATATCTTTTTCTGCTTATGAGACTTGCTGGGAGGTTTTGTTGTGGTTTCGGAGTGATTTGGGATACTTAGTCCCTAAAACGGAAGGTTAAGTCTTAGGATTTTGACCGTAGTCAGAACTGTGTGAAGATGACTCTGGAATGGAGATCTGTCGATTCTGTTAGCTCCGTTGGGTGATTTTGGATTTAGAAGCGCGTTCGAAAGGTAATTTGAAGGTCCGTAGTAGAATTAGCCTTGAAATGGTGAAAGTTAAATTTTTGAAAATTTTGACCGGAAGTGGACCTTTTGATATCGAGGTCGGATTCCGATTCCGGAAGTTGGAGTATGTCTGTAATGTTGAATATGACTTATGTGCAAAATTTGGGGTCCATTGGACATGGTTTGATAGGTTTCGGAATCAGTTGTAGAAATTTAAAGTTTCAAGTTTATTAAGTTTAGATTGGAGGGTGATTCGCATTTTGTTATTGTTTGATGTGATTTGAGGGCTCGACTAAGTTCGTATGGTATTTTAGGACTGGTTGGTATGTTTGGTTGAGGTCCCAGGGGCCTCGGGTGAATTTCGGATGCTTAACGGATCATTTTGTACTTAGGAAAGATAGCATATTTTCTGGTTTTCCCAATTGCTGGTTTTCTTCTTCGCGTTCGCGAGGGGTGTTCCGCATTCGCGAAGAGGAGCTAGAGGCAAGAGGAAGATTGCTCTTCGCGTTCACAAAGTGGGGGACGCATTTGCAAACGGGTTGTTAGGCAGTGCATCGCGAATGCGAGAAAGGCATCGCGTTCGCGTAGAGAAAGTTAGGCGGCTGGGACCCCAGGTGTCACACCCCAAACCTAGGTAGGCGTGACTGGCACCCGGTGCCGTGCTGGCCCAAGAGAACCACTATATAACTCATTTGTTTTTCCTCTGTAACTATCATGGGCCAACATGGCCACAACTCATAATGTATAACTATAAGTGGGAAACACTGTATTACTGAACCATTTTTCTTAAAACATGAATACATATGGGCCGTCAAGGCCTCTGACATACTGTACAAAATGATCCTCTGTCTATAAAGCCTCTAAGATTATTTGACATCAAATGGGACAGGGTACCGGCCTACCCATTAGTCTTTAGCACAATTCTGATGCGATGACTCATACACTCGGCTGCACTCCGAATGAGGTGGAGTCTTACCGATCTTTCGCTGAATGTCAATCTCGTCTACTATGAGGGCTCGTCAAACTGATTATCTATACCTGCAGGCATGAATGCAGCATCCCCAACAAAAGGTCATCAGTACGAATAATGTACTGAGTATGTAAGGCAGAACTGAAACATAACAATAAGTCAACATTAATTAAAGACATATAAGAATCAACCTGAATCTCTAAAGTGCCACCGTATATGCATACTTATTATACTCATATATATACAATGCTTCTCTTTAAGACTATTATCCATATCTTATGATGCATGACTGCCCAACTGATCAGTGGTAACTGCCCGACCGGCCGTAGCTCAGTGGTAAATATGTAACTGCCCAACCGGCCGTAGCTCGGTGGTAAATGTATAACTGCCCAACCGATCATAACTCGGTGGTAAATGCATGACTGCCCGACCGATGGTATCTCGGTGGTAAATGAATATTCATGTCTGCCCAACCGGCAGTAAATAATGATACATAACTGCCCAATCGGTGGTAACTGCCCAACCGACCGTAGCTCGGTGGTAAATGCATGATTGCCCGACCGCCCGTAGCACGGTGGTAAATGAATATGCATGAAGATGCATGTATTACTATATTATAAACATTAACATCTTTATCAAATACATCAATAGGGAATTAGAAACATACTTAGACATGCTTGAATATCGCTTTACAAGAATGAATAACGTAGACATCCTTAACTGCTAAGAGTAGAAACGCTTATGAAATAGCATTACGTTTACGTATCGTTACTTGGATCATGCCAAAATAAAGGATTAGTCTTAATATACCTGGAGTAGAGAAAATCTGTATGATACTCTTGAGAAGGATTACACCAAACTCCCTTAGAATCGAAATTTCACGTTGTGATAACATTAGGTACACTTTGTATGAAATCTTCGAATCGATTTCGTTGCTATTGCAACATTAGCGTTGCTGAATCTTTCCCCCTTAGGAATAGAGTTCCATGTGTTAGCTAAGCATTTTCCTTAATTAACTAGAGGGTGATTGTGTCATAGTTTGTCCCCTACCAAACTATTCTCTAAATGCCACCTTACTCTACAATGACTTTAAAGTCATCTTACATTAAAAGGGGGCTGCCACGTTTTGGGGGTTGGCAAGCTTATCCAAAATATTGAATTAATTAATTAATCTTTCACTAAAAATTATTAATTACTTAATTATCCACATAATTAAGAATTATCCCAAATTACTTAAAATACTACTCACTTTTAATACACTTTATGTACCCTACTATCATGGTCATGTGGTTCTATATAAAATAAATACATACACTATTATTTTATTAAAATATCCATGTAAAAATACATATATTTTTTCAACTTCTAATTTTGCTAATCTCGTATAAAGAGTACAAATTTCCGTACGCTTAATTCTTAAAATGGTAAAAACATAACCTTCTTTTGTGAGAAAATAACTTCTATTTTTACAATAAGGAAAATCTCATTTATAAGCTTTCTCATATTATGTGTATAATTTACCATATTCGAAAATAGTAATAATGGTAACTATCCAAATTATATTTATAAAACTTTTACTAAAATACTCCACTTAAAAGAAAATACCACACTAACATAATATCTAACGATATCAAGGTTGTAAACTTATAGGGTCTCATAATAATAATATTTTAAACCCTCTATAACCTCCTAATAGACATAATCCCTTCGAACTCATATGGATTACTACAACTCATCCAAATATTAAAGTACAGGATGTAACACCAGGCCTTTTTGCCTACGCATTTGCGATGTTGGTTCCGCGTTCACGTAGGGTTGAGCTGAGTGGTCTTCGTGTTCGCGACAAGGGTATCGCGTTCGCGAAGAAGGATTTGCCTGAGCAGAATATAATATTTCAAAAACGAGGGTTTGGATATTTTTATCAAAACTTGAGTTTGAGAGCTCGGATTTGGACGAGATTTTGAGGGATTTTTAGACATCAATTGGGTCACGATTCTTCACTTGATTTTGGTTATATCCCACTAATCTATCACTAATTTCATCTTTTATTTTCGCATTTGGGTGGAAAAATTGAGAAAAATAGAAAAAAGTTCTTCAACTAAGATTTTGAGTTGTGATTGAGATTTTGATATCGGATTTGGATAATTTTGGTACGAGTGACCTCGTGAGTGAATGGGCTTTCGAATTTTGTAACTTTCGTCGGATTTCGAGACATGGGCCTGGGGAGCCGGGTTGAGCCTATTTCAGATTTCGGCTTATAATTTCGTATTTTTCTTGTGTAATTAATTCCTTTAGCTTACATTAATTATATTGTACGTCTTGTGGCTAGATTCGGGGCATTTGGAGACTGATTCGAGGGGCAAAGGCATTTTGGAGTAGGATTTTGCGTGGTTTGAGGTAAGTAACAGTCTTAAATCTGGTCCTGAGGGTATGAAATCCCGAATTTTGATATGATGTGATTATTTTGGAGGTGACGCACATGCTAGGTGACGGGCATGTGGGCGTGCACCGTGGGAGATTGTGACTTGGTTCGTCCCGTGAGACTGTAAAGCCGAATAGCTTATTGTTAATTACATGTTCCCTCTGTCTTCTAGAAATTTGACTGCCATTCATGTTTGCAACCATGCTTAGGCCATATGATATCACTGTTGGGACCCGCAGCGTTCGGGTACTTGTTGAATAAACTGCTATTTGTTGTCTTATACTCAGTCATAGTTTTACTTGCGTGTCATATCTTTGTTTTCTCTTATTTTCTTGTTGATACTTGTTATTATCTCTTTTGGACTTATTTGTATGATTTCTGAGATCCGAGAGGCTGGAGAGGTTAGTGACTGAGATAGGGCCTGAGTGTCGAGCTGTGAGCTATGTGAGTGTATATGGATCGGGTCGCACACCGCAACGAGCCTGAGGACTGAATGTATATGGATCGGGTTGCACGTCGCAATGAGCCTTATGGCTATTTATGGACTGTGGATCGGTTTTCATACCGCAACGAGCCTTATAGCTACTTATATGATTGGATCGGGCTGCACGCCGCAACGATATAGCACTTGGGCTGAAGGAGCCCCTCCGGAGTCTGTACACCCCCAGTGAGCGCATGTACCTATTGAGTGTGATTATTGAGGGCTGAGAAACAAGTGTCTGAGCTATTGAGAGCTTAAGTGATTGTTACTTTGAAAGATTGAATTTGTTTCCTTTGTTTCTGCACTTAGTTGAATTATGTTATTATTCTGAACTTCTGGAAATAAATATTATATCCGGTTTATCTGAACTGAGTAAATGTACAACTGACTTAATTTATATTGCCGAAATTGAATCATGTCTACTTTCATTGCTGAAACTACTGAAGTGAACAGTAATTGTATAGCTTGTTACTACTTCTCAGTTCCTTATTTATTTTTGTTACTTACTGAGTCGGTTGTACTCACGCTACACCCTGCACTTCATGTGCAGATCCAGATGTATCCGGTAACGGAGGACGTTGATCTCGTGCGTGGTTGAGTATCGGAGATTCACG